AGACTGTGAATGGCTATCCAACTACAGAAGCAGTTTCTCCTCCCTTGGTGTTCACACCTCAACAGCTAGTAGAGCACCTCACCCTCCCTTATTGAACTAACCTCGTTATCTCCAGACTGATTTATACCTGCCTCTGGAGATTTCCATTACTGGCATCTGAAGAAGTGAGGTTCTTACCCACGAAAGCTTATGCTCCCAATACTTCTGTTAGTCTCAAAGGTGCCACAGGACCCTCTGTTGCTTTTTACAGATTCAGACTCACATGGCTACCCCTCTGATAAAGGAATGTGTGTTTACCTCAATTTACATATAAACAGTAAACAGACTCATCAAGCTAACAAGGGATGGAGGCAAACCTCACACTAACAAGTGGGGGAGAAGACAGCATGGCGTCTACATCCAGCAGGAGAGAGAAGGTTGGTCTGGGTTTTACTAGTCAGAAGAATTCATTTCAAAGGTTTACTGGGCTATAAAGATGGGGAGAAGCAGGTTAACCTCAAATGATAATCAACTGATTGTATACAACATTACTGTATTATAAAAGTGTACAGAGTGAGGTCTTTTCGGATGACACACTGGTGATTAATATAATTGTGAAATGTATGTATTAACACAATGTAAGGAATCAGAGGGGTAGCCGTGTTAGTCTGAATCTGAAGAAGCCTTGCATCTGAAGAAGTGAGGTTCTTACCCACGAAAGCTTATGCTCCCAATACTTCTGTTAGTCTCAAAGGTGCCACAGGACCCTCTGTTGCTTTTTACAATGTAAGGAATTATGGATGCTCACTGATATTAGGCTGTATTGTCTGCCCAGACAGTGGGGAATGGCACAGTTACCTACCTGTCTCCTATATACATTAAGCATGGTGGAATCAGAAACAATGGAAGACCCATTTACATAGAAATCATATAGGAACCCCACAGGAAGAACAGAACAGCATGAGGTCATCCTGCCTCTTGAAGCAAGGTCATTGAACTTGGGAGATATAAGCAAGGACAGAAGCTCTCTTTGGCATCCATCACTAGACAGACAGAAGGGGCCAGAGTTCTTGGAGGCTGAGAAAGATGGGTCCTTAAACTAATAGGGGGCAGATAGAAGTCTCTGGAACAGAATATAGGTGAGAAACCTGCTTAGGCAAAAATCTTTTCACCTAAAATGACAAAGGCACCAGCATATGGGCCTCTGGAAGAGATCCTGACGAAGGAATAGATGATTCACCATCTTGCTTGAAGACTGTGGGTGAGAAATGCCATCTTAAATAAAGCCTTGAATCAAATCTTTAGGCTTTTAGATGCGTGTTTTAATTTTTATTTGGTTGTAACCCTTTATAACATTATCTCTTATACTTAACTCACTGAAAAACCTATCTGCTTTTGTTAATAAACTTGTTTTACTATTAAACCAATATTGTTGTGTTCATACTAAAATGAACATCAGCTCCAGTTAATGTGGCAAACTGGTGTGCTTTCACTTCTTAAAGGAGCACACAAATCATATTATTTCTCTGAATTGTCCAGGGCTGGACATTGCAGAGCACATGGTTTTGGGAAAATTCAGGACTGGGAGTGTGTTGGGGTCACTCTGCAAGTAGTGACCAAGGCTGGTGGAAGCCAGAGTGGGGCTGTAGACTGGCTGCTGAGGTCAGAATTGCTGAACCAGGGCTGTCTAGCCCAGAGACACACAGGGTGTGACCTGCTTGCTAGTAGGATGGTTGTGAGTGGCCCCGGTGAGGGGCTACAGCAAAGCATTGTGAAGCACCCTAGATTGCAGGACACAACCCCTCACTGGTCTGGATTGCACCCTAGAAAGTGACGCTATCCTCATTCTCTAATTGCTGTTCATCTCTCTGCCAATTTCAGTTTATTTATCCCCTATTTCCCCCAGTTTCCTTCCTCTATTCTCACTGGCTGGCTGCTCACATGCTCACTTCTTTCTGCTAAGCTTCGGAGAAGCCCTGGAACTGAGCCTGAATTCCGAACCTTCTGAGGGCCACTCACCACACAGTCCAAGAGCATGTGCTAACTGTGTTGCCTCCACACCTCAGACTAAGCAGGGGACTGGTCCTGCTTTGAGCAGCAGGTTGGACTAGATGACCTCCTGAGGTCCCTTCCAACCCTAATATTCTATGGTTCTATAAGTAGCAACAATGCCTCACAGCATTTGCAGGCTCTGCTAGCCCTGGTGGTTGGAGGAATA